CATAGGTCTATAATATTATATCATATATTTCATCGACTTCATAATATATTGATGAAACACATTGATCAGAATAAAACACAGGACAGACCTTGGCGGAACAGAGAGTCCTGTATTATTTGTAGGACAATCAAAATGTATTTTTATAAGCAGTGTTCCTTTTAAATATCAAAAAATCTGTACTCCTTAACCGTTCCCCAGTTTTTCGTCAAACAACTTTATTCTGTCTTATCTACATTTCTACATTTCTACAACATATTAAAAATTGTTTTTCCTCCGGACCCTGATTTTAAGTTCGCTAAGTAGTAGCAGCGGTGGGGAAATCAAGTGATAATTTAAACCTTGCTTCTTTTCACACACCAACCATAAAATAGGACAAACATTAACCTTCTTCCAGACAGAGAACGTTTGGAAACCATCTCTAACGCCACAGAGAAGCACTCGTTTTTACAAATGCTTTAATTTTACTGTCGAAATTAAATGGAGAGGGCTGGGAGATAGTGAGGAAGATCAGGGCACAGAATAGAAATATTTGTAAAAAATAATAACTTTTTAAGTTTCAAATAGTTAATGGTCCACCATGGTTCAATGCACATTGCTGTACGGTGTTACTATTTTATTAGGTGATGGAAATGCTTAGAATTATCTGTCATTCAATCTCTGAGATTATCTACATGCGAATAGTACTTTTTGAGCGCAATATTTCAAAGGTAGAGTGATATTTTTCGAAATCAGTATTGAGCTAGCTGGGTGTGAGCGTTCTTTTGGTAATTAGAAAATACTATTCATTGGATGTTACGAGAGATTTTGGATCGAACAACCATGATAGTGGTAGCGTCTGGATTTGATAGTTGATGTGTGTCTGTTATAGCAGTAGAGCCTCATCAAGAGAATTGCACAATTCCAAAGTGTTCAAATTTCCAACCAAACAAAGCTCTTTTTAGATATACTTGGTGTACCACAATCATTTGACACAATATTTAACTTTGTAAAAAAATGATTTTGTTTTTATTATGTAATGATTTGTACTGGTAATGATAAGCATGCTCACCAAACTTACAGACACAATCCTGGTAATTTACGAAACTTATTTATGGTAATTGTGTTCCATCATGACAGCAATAAATGGCGTGTAGCCTATTGTACGACTATTCGTTGTATTATCGTGAGAATTGCAGTCGTCAAATGGAATACTTATCAACCGTAGCGACTTATGTAGACCTTTTTAATTAATCACAAATAGTAACAAAATATGCTTCTCGATTTCTCAATATACTGTAGCATAATATTAGCACTTCAAACAAATGGACTCTATTCCTTTACTCGAGTACTATATACAGTGCACACAG